TTTTCTTACAAAAAATCTACGACAAGTCATTCAAAAAATTATCAAAAGTTAATAGAATACTTAAAATATGTCAATTATTTCGTGCTTGTAAGAACCTTGAGAGAGAAATAGGGAAAATAACTGATTACGCTTTCCTCATTCTGATAGGACTATGTCTACCCTACATCTTACAGAAGCTCACTGTGACTAGATGACTGTTTGAGAAGAAACGTTTCGATAGATCTTTTCAACTGGTTTCTTTTCACAGTACAAGAGTAATAGTAGTAATAACTTGATTAGAAAGTCAATATTTAAACGTTAAAGTACAAGTCTTTTTTTTTTATTTACTAAACACAATACAAAATTATTTTCTTTCTATGAAAATTAATTCATACACTACTAATCTGATTTGAGGGACTATTAAAAACAAATAACCCACTGAAATTTGGAAACCACTCAATAGTATTCAATATTACCTTTTAGTTACCCTAATAAACATTAAAACATTTAAACCAGTTGAATTAAAATATCTCTGAGTTTAAGAGAGCATGTAGTATTTCCACATATTTACCATTATATGTTATCAATAAATTGCAAACTATGACGAAATACTAATCAATGGCTCTCTGGACTGAATACTACCAATCAATACTAATTAATGATTTATGTAAAATCAAATGTAGTTAAACACTTTAATGAATAAAATCTGTTAAGTATTGCCGATGATTTACACCTTGATTTTATTCCGTTAATAAATCCTAGCACAAAAATACATTTATATTTGTGTATGCATACAGATAGACATATAGACAGACACTACGGATAGACAGCCAAACGAATGGACGAACAGACATAGACGTACACATACATACATACACATACACGTACACACATAGACAGATACATCAGCTCACCAGACATTCCACAATTCACTATGGTCTCGAATCACATAACCAACCGAACAAATATAATAGAGTTACTACCAATCGATAATTATTATTATTATTATTTATATTATTAATATCATTATAACTATTATATAATATAATTTTTTTTTATCTTGAGCAATAAAATAATAATCATCAAACGAAACATGAAAGAATCGAAAAACAAAAAAAACAAGTAAAAGAAAAAAAACTGTTGTTTAAAGAATATTTGTACAATATCATATACATGAGAATGAGGGCGGAGAGGTGGGGGGGTGCGGGGCGGGAGCTTTTGAAAAGCATTCTTCACAACATCAAATTCTCTTGTTTATCAATTCGCTTACAGTTTACTTGATTGATGATGTTGTTGTTGTATTGTGTGTGTGTCAGTCGTTTTGAATGGTTGTTCTTGACGTTGTAAGTGTTGTTGTTGCTGTTATTCGTCATTGTTATCTGGTTGTCACTCTGGTTGGTTGGTTAGTTAGTTAGTTAGTTAGTGATGAGAAAAGTTCAACTACCATAGAAATGAAAATGAAAAGTGTACATGTGTGTAGGTATGTGTGTATTTATATTGTATAGAAGATAGAAGAGAAGAGAAGACAAAGGAAGATAGCAGTAAAATAGGTGAATGAAAGAATTAATAGTTTTTTGGTTAAATAGTTCAATGTGTATAAATATAATTTCATGGGGCCTAGAATAATGAACTAATAATCGTTGAATGAAACCAAAAACATGTACATATTGATATAAATACTTGTTTATATGTTTATATATATATATGTATATATGTATATCACTAACATGAGAATTAACCTGCTTTTGTTTAATTTTTCAGAAAGAAACAAAGGAAGAAGTAATAACACTTGACATGATTCACATAACAACATCATATAGAGATCCTTGTTGGACAATGCTAAGAAAGAATATGGAATTTTGGTATACAAGCAACAATGAATTATTTATTTATACAAGGACAACGATAATTTTTTTTTTAGAGTAGAAAAAAGAAAAATTCTCATTTCATAACAAAATGATGGACCCTTTTTTTAGATAAAAAAAAAAGAAATTGGTTGGTTTTCTTTTTTTTTTTAGTTTTATTGAAAAAAATACACTACATGGAAATTTAGGTCGATGATATTGTTATCAGTAGTATTGGTAGTGTTGGCAAAATTTTAATCGTAATAAATGATGGTTAATAGTAGTTAATATAGTTGCTAATATTTCTGGAATATATATATTTGACACCAATCCCTTCAAATGCCTTTTTAACTAGGAAGCATATATAAATGTATATATAGATATATTCATGTTCATGAATTTAAAAATTACTTAAATAATAAATAATATACACTGTGTTCAAAATAAATATCATATTTTGAAAAAAAAATAGAATTATTGAGGAATACCATTTAAAATTAACAATGAAGACACATATAGATAGATGATATATATATATGTGTGTACGAGAAATATAAAGACGTCAGATAGAGGAAGTGTATGTGATTTGAGTTAGTGTAGAGCAAACATTTTATGTTGCAATCATGAAAATAAAAATAAAAAAGATTTTATTGATAGAATTCAATTTGAATGTTTGGCAATTTTCATCACTTTTGAACATGAGATCAAAAATTGAGGAAAGTGGTTGTTAGATGAAATATCATTTTCATGTAAATAGATAGACAGAGAGAGAGAGAGAGTAGGTGAGTGAAAAAGAGAGTGATCGAAAGGTTTAAATTACAAATGTATGTATTGCATATTCAAATTTAAATTTGAAAATTTCTTTGCATAGAGAGAGTGAGAGAGTATGTGTTTTAATGATGCGTTATGTTAAGTCATAGATCGAAAGTATCAATCGAAATTCAATGTATATAAGGAGTATGGATCATTTGTAAAACTAGTCAACATACTGGTCCCTTAACTATCCTGATTTTTAATCTTACATTGTGTATACAATCTATTCAATGAGTGTATGGGTCCTATTCGATTTTTGTTCATATGTGTCAGTGTGAATGTACTGTTGGACTCTGTCTTACAAACACCTCATATATTCATTTGGAATGTGAATTTGTCTTCAATATTTTGTAAATAGATCATGAAAAATTCCCTCTTTTTTTCCCTACACAACCTCAGTGTTGAAAAAGAAGAAGAGAAGACTAAAATAATTTTGTGTGGAACAATCAACACAAACAATATGCGACGTATGATAGAAGTAAAAAGTTGAGTAATATTATTTGATCTGTCTGTATATATGTGGGCGTTAGCTTAGGTATAGTGTACAACAAACTGCATAATCATCATCATTTCATGCTCATACAGACATGTCTAATCACAGACACATATTGATAAAAATAGACAGACAGATATGCTAAAATATTTAACACATCATGGACATATACACACACACACAGACACAGACACACCACCTTACCCTTCAAAAAAAAAACAAGAACAATTCTTATTACATATTGGAATAGAGAATAAGAGATAAATTTTGAAGAAAAAAAAAACAGAGTGAAAAGGATGAAGGGAAAAATGAACAAGAGAAAATAAAAGTAACAGTAGTAACACAACAACAAAACTACTCTTCATTTATCCATGTTCATTGGTACTGAATGAAATTTTTAAACTCTTTCAACAAGAATTGCCTTTATTGATTTCATTGTGACAGTGATCGTAGAAACTCTTCAATAATAACATGATTACACATTTTTTTACACTTATTTTTAAATTTATCACATTAAATTCAGAAGAAAAAAATATTTTTAATTTGAATATCAACTAAAGAAAAAAAAGTACATTTTCACAAACAAAAAAAAATAACATATTTGCATATAAATAGATTTAGGTAAGTAGTTATTGGGTTACATTTCAAGAGAAGAGATTGAGTAAGTAACATAGAGAAAAATACAAATTAACATATCCAGTTGAAGATGTTAGTTAACATAATAATCAACAATATAAAGTAAGTTAGTTGTTTATTTTTGGCAACAAAACAAAAAAAAATTCATTAATTAATTACAAACAGTAAATTGAAACAAAATTCAAGAAAAATTCAATGAAGATCTTTTTTTCTTTTTTCCTTTTTTACAATGAATTAAAAAAACTTTTACAAACAAACAAAAAAGAAAAAGAGGAGAAAAGAATGGAAGTCAATTTTTATTTTTCATTCTCTATGCGTAAAAAATTAATCATCATCTTCTTTTCTTTCTGTTCAGCTCAACTTTGTGTTTTTTTCTATCGATCTGTTTGTGTCAGCCTAGTGTCAGTTAATCCAAGTTGACTGTCCGTCTATCTATTTTTCCCACTTATCCGTCTATGAATCCTATTTGCTTTTTTTTGTATGGAAGGAATCTAACAAAATATTTCATCATATTTTGTATAGAATATCTTCACTCAAAATAGTCAACATATAACATGATGTTGATTAAAAATGTTCTCGGTTTGTTTTGTTTCTATGCACCTTTTTTTTGAATAGTCGGCGTGGAATTAGTTGGAAAGAATGACAAATATAAATAAACTACTAGATATTTTTTTTGAAAAAAAAATGACATAAATTTTATAAGATTACTAGTTATTCATGGTTTAGTTAGTTAGTTAAGATCTCATGTATAAGCATGAAATGAGGGGAGAGATAATTTTGGTCCTCGTCTGTGTGTAGATAGATATATATATATATATATATTGATAGAAATGTAAATTATTTTGGAAATCTATTGTTGTTTTTATAAATAAATCTCATAAATTACATAGAAATGTTTTTCGATATTACTTATATATACTACGTATTACAGATATAAGTAGTATAATTTTATTAATGATAATACTAGCAACTGTTTTTTTAGAATTCGGAAAGACAAATATAATCAAGATGCTTGAATAATAAATAATTTGTATTTGTCATTTTTAAATGTGGACGCCGATATAATAATTACTGGGATTGATGTACTTGAATGGTAATTGGATATAGATTATGTATGTATGCATGTACGTGTGTTCTTCATTCACCAAATTTCCATTCATCTCCATTCATCGATTTATTGATTTTTTTTTTCACTGTTGATAATGCTGTTAACAAATCGACGTCCACATTTATAGTCAAACTACTGATGAACCACGATTGACTGTTTCAAGTAATCGATTGACATCTTCTTCTGTACCTGTAATTTTAGCTTGTCGATAATTTTTCCACAATGTTGCTGTTACATCTAATGCAATAAGATCACTTGCAATTTTCGATACAACATGTAAAATAAATACACCATCAGCGCCTAAATTATTATTTACAAAACGTGCACAATCACGTTCTTCTGTACTGGATATAAGTTTTAATGCTTTTAAATATTGTTTAATATAACGTACACGACGTGATGGTAAGATTGTATTCAATGCCCATTGTAATGTATTCAATGAAGTTAATAAACCAAGAATAGCAAACCAAAACCATAGAAATACATAGATTTTCTCTGTGAAATTATTAATTGGTAGGACACATTGTAGGGTATAACTGTAAAATAAGAAAAAAAAAGAAAAGAATAGAATACGTGAATAAAATATAAAATAATTATTGAATTGTTAGTTATGTGGAATAAATCTTTTTCTTTGTGAAGTGTCATTACAGAAAAATAACTTTTGTTTAATGTTCAGACTCACCAGCGTTGGATGCTACCTCAGTGATTGAGAGGTTAAGCATTCGCGCTCTAAGTCGAAGGTCATAGGTTAGAATACTGTGAGCAGCAGGAGTAGTGGGTGCGCACTGCTGATGAGTCCCATCCTGGGACGAAACGGGTGCCCAGTGCTTCCAGGTTTCGAAATGTTGGTCCAAAATTGATCGTTTCATGTGTAAAATAGAAATAATTTATCCACAGAAAAAAAATTTTCTTGGGAAAAGTTTACTGAAGTTAGCTAGTACTGCCTAATTATTGTGAACGATTTTCTGGAAGGTAGATTACTTACTCGAGTGTTTGATTTTCAACTCGAGAAGTTTCAAGCTCATCTAGTGCAAATTGTATAATACACAAGCCCCCTTACATATATATATAAATTACCGTCAAGTATTAAACAACTGTTTACAAATTCTTTGGTTATTAGGCATTCTCAATCCATGTGTTGCTATCAGTTTGATTACATACTGTGACACAAAAAGAATGATGTTTAAGTAGAAAATGACTCAAAATTTTCAATTTAAAACTAGATCTAAATCATGTAATCATTGCACCACTTTATCATTCTACCTAAACGATACCTGATCAATAATTAATCAGTGTTCAAAACTAAGAAAGGATTTGACAAAAGCAACTGTTATTCTTTTTCAAATAAAAACATTTAGCTACTCATAAGTAATAACTCAAAATATTCAAAGTTTATTCAAATGAGGACTAATCAATACTTTAATAAATCATGTTGAACCAAATGTGATGGGAAACAGGAGTTTTTACTTGTTTTTCCTATACCATTTAACAATTTTGAAAATGACAAGTTTTTTCAGTGAAATCTTCAGGAAACTAATAATCGTTGAAAGTTATAAATAAACAGAGAATTAATGTGATTGCTAAATACTGAATAAGTTGTCATTATAGGGTTGTGGGGATAGTTGAGCTTCATTTTAAAGATAACTCTATCGATGTTAGACTACAGTTAGAAACCTAGAAGTGCTGCAATACCGGTTCGTCCTAGTATTGGACTAGTCATAAGTGAGCGTCCACTATCCTGAAAATGAGGGTCATACCAAGATCCTTCCTTCTTACAAGTGAAAGCTTAAACTCTGGACCACTAAGTCAGCATTCAGCCACGGTAATTTCTAACTTTGATCCCTCCACGATATTGCATGACTATCTACCATTTTCTTCAATGGACAGAGGCTTCACATCTGACATGGTTGAACTCCAGTGGTCATGACTTTGAATTGGAAGTCAGAGAAATCCTCCGCGGAGCTAGTCACTAGTGAGAACATGATAATTGTCATTATAGGGTTGTGAAAGCACAATATACCATCAAAAAAATATAATTAGGTTCTCAAATCTGAGTCTCTTGAGTTAACAATTATGGTTTCTTTGAGTGACTGACATACTGCAGAACAGAGTGTAATTTGTCTTAACAGATTTTCTCATTGAAAATTGAATGAAACTGAATGAATTTGAAATTTATAAGTTATTTTATACAAATCGGTTACATGTTAAGTTTAGCCACGTTGGAAGTATGAATTTTCAGATATCGTTAAGTATAGTTAGAAATCGTTATAATCCAAAATATACACATTTTGATGTGTTTGTTTTGAGTTTTAGACAAAAAAATGACTTGAATTTGAATTATTTATTTTTCTAGTTATTAATCAATAAAAAATGATCACTTATTCAACTGACAATTTTATTTGAACTACTAAAACAAAAGACCTTACTGTTCAAGAATGAAGTGTGTGTGTGTGTGTGTGTGACTAGTTCCAATTTAAAACTTTAAGCATTATCATAAACAAGATTGTATAAATTAATATTTCAATGATCTAAACTTTTTACAGTTAATAAATTATTGAAATGGAATCAAATGGTTAATGTTTCGCTCTTTGATTAATTCATTATTTGAAATATTGACAACTGACTGTCATTAATGATACTTGTCTCAAATCCATTTGGAGTCAGAGAAGGTGCCTATTGACTAGCTTAATAGTTTGAAAGGTAATAGACAAGATTAAATGGTTTAGAGTTCAGATTATGTAGATGCTGTAGCGTGTGAACGATTGAAAAGTATCATTCTCGGACAAAACAGTCAATCATGATTTTTTAACGGTTGCCTAACTACAATTATCCCATTATGTTGATTACAAAATCACTAATCATCACAGAGCTTCTAAACTACTAATTATAAAAGTACCTAAGATTACTGAAAAGGAAGTTTCAATATGATCGTTTCGTTATTTAGGCTATGAAACTTCTACAACCTCCATTAATCCCCCTACACTTCTGATAATTCCATGTCTACCGATGATCAACCTTTTAATACAATACCTTTGTATTGTGACCGATCGATTTCAACAATATTGGTTTGGAAATAGTTATTTACTATCAGAGGCAGTGGAAGATGATCTTAAAACATTCTGAAATGATTGAAGTTAGTTATAAATATCATCGGATTCCGCCTCAGTGTCCTAGGGGTCATTCAATCATATGCGAGATTGTCAGATCCTCAGTTTGAATTCCTGGTGACGAAATCATAAGTGTATACTAGAACAAAACAGCCAACCAATAGTTCTTGGTTTTTCATGGCGGACTATCTAACATCAATTCATCATTTGGAATACAAATGTTTCAAACAATGAACAACCTTCTAAAGAAGATAAAATTATCAACCTATGGCTCTACAAACATAGATAACCATTATAAATCATATATATATATATATGCACTACGGGGTTGTGAAGATTGTTAAGTTACACGTTTTTGAAACCATAAATCGATCAATGTTAGACCACCACCATTAGAAACCTGGAAGCACTGTAAGACGGCCGTTTCGTCCTGGTATGGGACTCCTCAGCGGCAGTGCGCATCCACGACTCCTGCACCCCGCAGGATTCGAACTCAGGACCTTCGGCATTGTGCGCGAAAGCCTAACAATCGGACCACTGAGGAGTCCCGAACCAGGACGAAATGTCCGTCCATTGCTTCCAGGTTTCTAATGCTGGTCTAACATTGATCGATTTATGGTTTCAAAAATATATATATATATACGTTAAATTTGTTCTCAGGTATACAAACCAGACACATTTTATCTATATATATATATACATATTTTCATAATCAGGAGTGTATGTGAATATACATATATCTATATTTCTTTTATTAATAAAGTCGAAATTAACACAATCAACTAATAAAGAATAATAAAGAATAACAAAGAGCCAGAGAGAGAGAGAGACAGATTAACTATAGTCAAATGAGTGAATGTTTTGGTCAACTCCCAAATGAATAGATTTGATTGATTAACTCAAAAAAAAACACTGACTAACCTTAATAAATGAATATTATCGATTGGTGTAGTTTTATAAAATCAGCTTCTTAGTTTTTGAGTAAACTAATATATAAACAACAACAACACTGTATGGATAAGAGTCTGTGTACTCAAGTGTATATATGTATGTATATACATATATACTGATTGAGTAAGGTGTAGAGAGTGAGAATTATGAAAATGGTGTAGGAAATAAAAAAAATCATCTGTTCTCATAAATATAAAGTTACCAATATTAATAATCATTACAAAATATACTATTAAAGAAAAACGTTCATCAGCATCATCATCACCAGCATCAGCATCATCATCAAGAATACAATGCTGAAATTATCTTTACAATAAATCTCAATGTTTTTGTTTGTGGTTTCTATTTTTTTTTCTCCTTCTATGCCTCATCTGCATCATCATCACCATCATTGTGATAACAGTGAAAGATAAGAGAATAAGGAGAAGACATAACTATGAATCAATATGTGAAACATTGTTGAGTTAATTAAATCATACTATTAACTGGCATAATAAATAGTAAAATGAAATCTTCTTTGTTTAAAGAAAAGTTTGTTTTGTTTTATTTTATTTTATTTTTTTTACAAGAAAATAAACATTAGTTTAATTGATTGTCAGTTCAGGTGTACAGAGGTTAAGTGTTTGCGCGCTCACAGAACTGAAGGTTCTGGGTTCGAATCCTGCACGAGGTGCAGGAATCATGGATACACAGTGATGAAACAACCGTTCAGTGCTTCCAAGTTTCAAATGGTCGTCTAACATTGATTGATTCATGAGTTAAAATTCACTCAACATTCTTCACAACTCTATAATACACATTAGTTTATTGACGAAACCAAAATTTGAGATTATGACTACCGAAAATCAAATGTAAAAAAACTTCTTATCGTTATTCATAAATAACCCTTAGCATGTCAAACTGTAATGGTGTCTTGGGTTCGTGGATGCGTACTGCTGATGAGTCCCAAACTGGGATGAAACGGCCCCCCATAGTGCTTCTAAGTTCTTAATAGTGGTCTAATATTGATCGATTCATGATTTAAGTGCGATAACAAGTATTTTTTTTAAAAAAAAGTTTCAAGTACTCAGTGAAATACGAAAGCCTGAATGCGTTAATTTTATTCTTTTGTGAAATGATAGATGTACAAGTTTTCAATAATTTTCTAAGATCACTTTATAAAGTAAAACCGAAAAAAACCTTTCAGTAGTCAATATTTATTTCATACATTATTTAATAACCTGTACGACAAAAAGTTTCAATCATCACTTGGGGATGTTCGATCCCCAGAACTGGCTTGATAAATGTCTATATTTTGGATTGATTTCAGAGGCTAATCAGATGACCTTGAGACCACATTCCTCACCAGTAAAATCAATGGCTGTGATTGGTTACTGTGTCACTTTGGTGTGTTATTTTTATGACTGTCCCAAAGACGTCTCTGTAGTGTATGTGCTTGAGATCATTGTGTTCTTGCTAGGTGTGTTTGTAGAATACAC